TCCAGGGAGCTCCTCCCACATGTGGGCCAGAATGGCAACTCTGATCTTGAATTTATCTCATGATCTGTCAGTTAGCTACTATATAAAACCACTTAGGTTTCTGACTGTTTTTCATGTATGTCATGCTCATTCCCAAATCAGGGCCTTTTGTATTACACTTCATTCTCCTGAAATGCTCTTCCCCCAACTCTGCCTGGCTTGCTCCTTCACTTCATTTAAACTTCTGTTCAAATCTCACTATTTTAAAAAGGCCTTCCCTGAGCACTCTGACTAATATCACTATACAACTTTTTTTTCTTTTTTACTGCAGTACTGCCCTTGCCTAGACTAGTGTCTCACACAGTCAGTATTAGTTAAATGATATATTTTATGAGTAAATGAAACAATGACTGCCTGACCTCCAGAATTATAATTACAGATTTCTAAAAGAAGAATTAAAATGATCTATTTCATATTTTTCAAAAGGAATCACTCCAATCATATGATAATCAGCTGATGAGTTGACATTAGTCTACCTGGAGACAGAGTTGAAACGGGATGACTTCACATATTACAGAGTGCAGGTATGTACAGTGTCAGGCAGGCAGATTCCCTCAGTGGGGCATAAGTGGCCCAACCCTGATGGCACCTCGAGTTTTGAGAAGCACCAGCCCAGCCTCTAATAGGCACAGAGCGGCCATATACCTTTAACTAGAAATGTCAAGGTCAGGAACTAGTTTGGCTTCTCTAGATACCAGCTCTCTGGCCTCAGTTATAATATTTCTTAATTTTATTTTTTATCTGCTCTGAATTTTATATTGAATCTTGATGAGCAATTAATAATAATCATAGTTAATATTTTTGAAATATCCTATGAGCCTGCTGCTACTCTATGAGAATATTTATGTAATTAACCCCTGAATCCTCACAATCATCCTCTGAGGTAGGTTACTATGAATATCTTCATTTTGAAGATAAAGAAATGTGAGAATAGAGAGAAAATAAATTTCCTGAGATCTCTTAGTGAATTAACAGAACTAAGATTCAAACCTGGGAAGTCTGGTTCGACCTCTTTATCCAACACACTCTTTCATACATTTATTCCCCTGAGAGGCTTAGAAAAAAGTCCTTGTTTTCTTAGAAATAATATTCTTACAGGGTAAACATACATAAATATGATCTTAAAATGGCAAAATATTTTGAGTAAGCTATTATTAATACACATTTAAAATATATCAAATATTCCCTTGGGTCTGTGCAATTTTACAGACTTAAGACCTAGTATTCTCTATGATATTTGCATGTGTTTTTATGTATGTATACCAGAAATTTAAAATATTTTGCCCAAATTGAGAGTTTTCAGTGAAGATGTTTGCTAATTTTTATAAGCAAATACCAAGGCCCTAAAACATTGTGCTCCACTTAAAGTAAGTTAAGGTTTGTACTAATACTAAGAGCAAGTTTTGTTAGGTTTCTTGAATTATGTTTACAATAACAATATAAATACATAGGTGTAAAAGAGATGCTTGAGAAGTAAAGAATTCACTGAATACCCATTATTTAGTGTCTTCCATATGTGTGGCACCTTGTTAAACACTGGCAGATGCACAATGTTGTATATATACAACAATGTTCCAAATTCACGTTGAAAGCTTTTTTTTTCTTTCCCAGAATCTCAAGAACAAACTTGAAAAGGCAATATGTGACTACCCCAATCCTTTGTACTATCTAATGCAATGTAGGCAGAAACCAATAGTTTCATCCCTTTTACCTTTCTACCACCAACTGGTAGGTATTCATGGAGATTTTCTTTTAAAAAAGGCTTGAGTGTCCCCATTACATTAAATTGAGGCAAGTGTGAATTTATTCATCTTTATGTTTTATAGTAATGGCTGCATAGGGATGAGAAAAAGGCTGTATGTATTTACAAATATCCATCTATGGACTAATGTTCTTTTCTTTCTTTAAGTAGCATGTTAGTTGTATTCTTATTTTGTATTGCACATTTGCCTTTTTTTAAAAAGGTCATAATTTGCTCTGTAGAATCTTGATTTCCATTCTTTTGGCAAAGTTGTCCAAGGAGGCCATGGTCTATATTCATCAATCATGTGTGCCTCATGGATTTCCTGTCATATTGATACATATTGATACATAGTACATATCGATATGATTAATGGTTCAGAGTTCATATTTAGGAATCTGATTGGATAACTGTCATGTCATTTCTTGGAATATACAATTCAAAAAACATTAATGAAGTTGTCTAAGAAAAGAGGGCAATGCAAGCCAGTTTCAGTTATGAAAAACAAAGCTTACTCATTTGTTAATGCAAATAGGTTCTGCACTCCAGTCAAAGTGATTACACTGCAGCACTAAGTAGTAGCTCTGTAATGTGAAAGAGGGACTATAATACTGTGTATCAGGCTTCATTACTTGGAGAATGAGGGCACTTTTTGTTTGTAACATAGAGTAATAATTACTTACTTACCTCAAAAATATATTTATTTAGAAGCTTCTGGCCAAGATAGAGGCATAGGTAGATGTTCTTCGCTTCCTTGCACAACCAAAAAGAAGGGTAACAACCAATTTAAAAACAAAAAACCACCAGAATTTCCAGAAAATTTAACTGTATGAAAGTCCAACAACCAAGGAGTTAAGGAAACTTTCATCTAGATTGGTGAGAGAGGCAGAGGCAGGAAGCTAGGGCAGAGAGGATGTGTGACAAGGTGGCTAACGGACCAGGATATCCCACATTCGCATGTGGATAAGCCGGGAGGAACAACTGGGAAGTGAGACAGACTGTGCAACCCAGGGTTGCAGCATAGAAAACTAAAGACTCAAAACCTCTGGTTGTGAATACCTGTAGTGGTTGCAACAATGGGAGAAATTCCATCTCAGAGGAGAGGCTGTTGGAGGGTCCCACAGGATCTTAGAATGTACACAAGCTTGTCCACCTGGGAATCAGCATCTGAAGGGGCACAGTCCACTTGTGGGGTGAAGGAAGTAACTGAAAGCAGGGCCAGAGTCAAGCAAGCAGCATTGTTCTCTCTGAACCCTCCACCACATACAGCATCACAATGCAGGTGAGTTGCCCTGCCCTGGTAAATGCCTAAGGCTCTGCCCCTTACAATGCAACAGGTGCACTGAGACAAAGGAATATGGCCCAAATGAAAGAACAGATTAAAACTCCAGAAAAAGAAGCAAGCAACAAGGAGATAGCAAACCTATCAGATGCAGAGTTCAAAACACTAGTAATCAGGATGCTCACAGAAATGATTGAATATGGTCGCAGAATAGAGGAAAAGGTGAAGGATATACAAATGAAATAAAGAAAAATATACAGGGAACCAACAGCGAAGGGAAGGAAACTGGGACTCAAATTAATGAATTGGAACAAAAGGAAGACATACACATTCAACCAGAACAGAATGTAAAAACAGAAATTCAAAAAAGTGAGAGAGGCTTAGGAACCTCTGGGACAACTTTAAATGTTCTAACATCTGAATATTTGGTGTGCTAGAAGGACGAGAGGAAGAGCAAAAAATTGAAAACTTCTTTGAACAAATAATGAAGGAAAACTTCCCCAATCTGGCAAAGGAAATAGACATGCAAGTCCAGTAAGCTCAGAGAGTCCCAAAGAAGCTGGACCAAAGGAGGAACACACCAAGACACATCATTATTAAATTACCCAAGATTAAAGATAAGGAGGAAATCTTAAAAGCAGCAACAGAAAAGGCAACAGTTAACCTACAAAGAAGTTCCTGTAAAATGGTCAGCTGTTTTTTCTAAAGAGATCTTACAGACAAGAAGGGGCTCAAAAGAAGTATTCCTAGTCATGAAAGACAACAACTTATATCCAAAGCTATCATTTAGAATGGAAGGGCAGATAAAGTGCTTCCCAGACAAGGTCAAGTTAAAGGAGTTCTTCATCACCAAACCCTTATTATAGGAAAAGTTAAAGGGACTTATCTAAGAAAAAGAAGATCAAAAGTAGGAGCAGTAAAATGGTAACAAACTTAGAACTATCAACAACTGAAAGTAATACAAAAACAAAACAAGAACAAAAGTACACTAAGCAAACAACTAGAACAGGAACAGAATCACAGAAATGGAGATCACATGGAGGGTTATCAGTGGGGAGGGGGAGAGAGGAGAATGGGAAAAAGGTACAGGGAATAAGAAGTGTAATTAGTGGGCACAAAATAGACAAGGGGAAGTTAAGAATAGTGTAGGAAATGGAGAAGCCAAAGAACTTATATGGATGATCCATGGACATGAACTAGGGGGAAATGCTGGAGAGAGAGGGTACAGGGTAGAGGGGGATAAAGTGGAAGAAAACTGGGACAACTGTCATAGCATAATCAATAAAATATACTTTAAAAATATATATTTATTAATTATAAAATTACTTACTTATATAAACAGATGTACTATTTTATAAGAATCATAGACGTTTGTTATTAAAAATAAAGTACATCAAATAAATTTTAAAAAATTCCCTGAAATCTTACTTTCCAAAGATAACTCTTGTTCTTAGAGGAGATCAAAGAGAGACGTAAAGGGGTATAGAGTATGAAAAAAATATTAAATATTTTCTCAAAATTTAATAAATGATAAGAGGTACATTATAAATCAGTGGATTTTTTTTTAAGTTAACTGTGTTGGTGTAGCTGGCTTATCTTTTTGAGAAAAACCAGTTGTTTTCAATCTCACTCTTTTACACTTATATTAGTTTCAAACATATCAGAGATTGTTTTTAATATAAAACCATAAAATTATTATTATAAAATATGTTAATATTTCAAAAGGATTTTAGGCCTTTTGAAATGTGTCAAGAACCCAGAAAATTTCTTAAAAAACTAAATTTGACAGAATAAAATAGAAACACATTAGTATATTAAAAAAACACTATAAAAATCATAGACAAGACTAAAAAAGAAAACAAGCTGAGAAGAAATAACACATAACAAAGAGTTAATTTTACAATATCCTGAAAGTGCCTACTTTTAGTGATCGATAAAAATAAGATAGCAACTACAATAAAAGAATGTACAAAGACAAATATTTCTTTACCAAAGGGGAAAATCAATAAATACATACTTTCTTAGTGTTCAAAGTATTAATAAGCACATACTTTACTAACATTTAAAGAATCCATAGTACATACTTTATTTGTGTTTTAGGAAATTCCAATACAATCAATAAATTGAAAGAATTTTATTGTCAATAAGCCAGTTAAACTTAGTTGTCTCATTTTTCCCATCTGGAGAATGGATGGGATAAGATCAGCAATATCATTTATGATTGTATATAGAGTCCAAGAATGTCTTGTAATTTTCTAGATTTTATATATGAGAAAATGTTCTATTTATATTATGATATATATTTGTAATTTTAATACAGACATAAATGATCAACATTGTTTAAAATATAATTTTTGAATATATTCTCATGATTGGTATTTATGCTTCAACCACTATGAAACTCAGATTATTATTAAAAAGAACCTTTCCATCTTTCTTTACACTGAATTCAGGCTCTTGCAGATCTTTCATAATTTCTGCTTTGAGATCAGATGGTGCTGTTGTATTGAAGTTGCAGGTTTCTGTCAAAAAATCCCAAAGCAGGTCTCCATTTTCATTGTCATCAATAAAACAGTCAGATATGTCCATGGTGGACAGAAGGTCATAACACTCATATTTAATTCCCAACTTATCCAGCATCTGAGTGAGATCAGTCGCTGTGATGTATAAGCAAAGGTCATCCCGGGGTAAGCGGGATCCGTACTTCTTCCATAGCTTGTCCCAGCCACTGGTTCCTGTGAGACAGAACAAAGTTCATGCTTCCATTTATTCTTTCTTTCATTTACCTACCCTGCCAGGCAGTGCATTATACACCTGGGATACAGTAATCAATTTCAAAAAAAGAAAAAAAGAAAACATATCCTTTTTCTTAATTCAAGGAGTGAAGAGTTTGGAGATAGGGAGAGAAACAGTTAAATAAATAAATAAACAAACAAACAAATAATCGTGTATCAGATGGTGTTTAATGTTAATGAAAAAAGAGATCAGAGCAAAGGATAGTAGAGTCAAAGAGTTGGATGTGTTGCTGTTTTATATATGGTAGTCATAAAAAGTCTTTTTTATTACATGACATTTGAGCACAGACATGACAAGCCATGTAGCTATATCAGAAAGAAGATTACTCCAGGAAGAGAGAAGAGCAACTGTAAAGGACTTGAGGTAGGAACATGCTTGGCATGTTTAAGAACTAGCTAGGAAGCCAGTGAGATTGGAATTGAGTGAACAAGGGAGACAGTGGCAGGAAATGGGAATTCATCTGGTAGACCTTTCTGGACTGATGGACTCAAAATGATTTATTCAAACTAAAGACTGGTAGCTTCTCATGTCTATCCATTTGCTACATTCTGCCTTGGACTGCCAATAACTAGGTGGATTTCTATAGACTTTGCCCTCAACTTTAGAATATGTTTTAGCAATGTCTGTTGTATTTAATTGAAGACCCAACGGAATGTAGAAGCAAAGAGAGACAGCAGCTGAGGGGCAAGAGACATATCTTAGGCTCTTTTTTTGACAGTTCAAAATTGAGATGAGGTTTTTTTAAGGCTTGCTAATTGAAATGTTTATTCTTCTGATTACTCTTTTTTAAAAATATATATTTTATTGATTACAGTTGTCCCATTTTTTTCTTCCCTTGATTCCCCCCCACCCTGCAATACCCCACACCCCAGCATTCCCCTCCCCCTTAGTTCAAGTCCATGTGTTGTACATATAAGTTTTTTGGCTTCTCCATTTCCTATACTATTCTTAAACTCCCCCTGCCTATTTTGTATCTACTATTGATGCTGCTTATTCCCTGTACATTTTCCCCCATTTTCCCCCCTCCCCTCTGTTTTACTCTTCATAGTTTTTGATCTTCTTTTTCTTAGATATGTGCCTTTAACATTTCATATAGTAAGAGTTTGGTGATGATGAACTCCTTTAACTTGACCCTATCTGGGAAGCACTTTATCTGCCCTTCCATGCTAAATGATAGCTGTGCTGGATGGAGTAATCTTGGATGAAGGTCCTTGTTTTTCATGACTTAGAACACTTCTTTCCAGCCCCTTCTTGCCTGCAAGTTTTCTTTGGAGAAATCAGCTGATAGTCTTATGGGAACTTCTTTGTAGGTAACTGTCTCCTTTTCCCCTGCTGCTTTTAAGATTCTCCCTTTATCTTTACTCTTGGATAATGTAATTACAATATGCCTTAGTATGTGCTTTCTTCAGTCCAACTTCTTTGGGACTCTCTGAGTTTCCTAGATCTCCTGGAATTCTATTTCCTTGGCCATATGGGAGAAGTTCTCCTTCGTTATTTTTTCAAATGAGTTTTCTATTTCTTGCACTTCCTCTTCTTTTTCTGGCACCCCTATGATTTGGACGTTGAATCATTTAAAGTTGTCCCAGAGGTTCCTATGCCTCTCCTCATTTTTGTTTTTTTGAATTCTTGTTTTTACATTTTCTTCTAGTTGAATGTTTATCTCTTCTTTCTGCTCCAAAGCATTGATTTGAGTCTCAGTTTCCTTCCCTTTACTGCTGGTCCCCTGTATGTTTTTATTTCACTTTGCATAGCCTCTGCTTTTTCCTCCATTTTGTGACCATACTCAACCAATTCAGTGAGCATCCAGATTACCAGTGTTTTGAACAGTGCATTAGATAGGCTGGCTATCTGTTCATCTTTTAGTTCTATTTTTGAGCTTTAATCTGTTCTTTCATTTGGGCCATATTTCTTTGTCTCATTGTGCCTCTTACATTGGAAGGGATGGAGCCTTAGGTATTCCTAGGGTGAGACCACCCAGATCACTGCACTGTGATTCTGTCTATGGGGGAGGGGTCCAAGAGGGAACAATGCCATTTGCTCAGCTCTTGGCAGGCTTTCAGTCACTTCCCCTGCTACCCACAAGCAAATTGGGCCCTTTTAGTGCTGATTCTCAGGTGGGTGGGTTTGTGTACATTCTAGGACCCTGTGGGGTTCTTCAACGGACTCTCCTACAAGGCTGGAAGTTTCTCCTGCTGCTGCAACCCCTACATGTTTTTACCTACAGAGCTTTTGAGGCTTTCTTTTCACACAGTGGAACCCTGGATTGCATGGTCTGTCTCACTCCCCAGCTGTTCCCCTTGGTTTATCCGCATGCAAATGTGGGACAACCCGGTCCTCAAGCCACAGCCTTGCTGAGCAGCCTCTCTGCCCCAGCTGCTCATCTCTGCTCTTCCTATTGGTCTTGATGAATGTTTGTTCTTTAACTCCTTGGTTACTGGACTTTCATACACTTTGATTTTCTGGCAGTTCCGGTTAATTTTTGTTTGTAAATTTGTTGTTGTCTTTCTTTGTGTGAGGAGGCAAAAGGTATCTACCTACACTTCCATCTTGGCTGGAAGTCCTTTCTTTTCAAGGTTTACTATTTAGTCTTTCAGAATCTCAGTTTTATCATCTGTAAGATGGGGATAACCGTACTGACCTCAAATGCAACTGAGAGTATTAAATGAGACCCTTTCAGTGAATCATTAAACAATGTTAAGCACATGGTAGATGTATAATAAGTACTGACAAAATATATGAACATTACATAAAATTAGTTTGATAATGTATTTCCATTGGTTGTAATCTTTAGACTGTGAAAAAACAAATTGCCGTTCAGAATGGTTATGTGGTGGAAACAGCACTTGCTCATCAGGAAATGAGTGGATAAAAAAACTGTGACATATTGGAGATTTCAAGATGGTGGAGGAGTAAGTACAAGTCACACTGACCTCCTCCCAGGACAACCCTGGAATTACAACTAAATTGTGAGAAACTACTTGGAACAAACAACTGAACAATACCGAGAGAGGAGCCTTGTAACCTCAGAGATAGAAGAATTGGCTTTAGCGCAATCTAACTGGTAAGGAGTGCGATACAAACTTGAGAAGGCGGGCAGGGCGCCCATGAGTTGCAGCACCAGAAGGATATTGAAATGGCCAGCTGGATCCCCCTGAGAAGAGCGGAGTCTAAACCAAAAGTGGGGATCTTGAGCCCACAGCCCCAGAGCCCAAACAGTACACAGAAAACTGCCAGCTGCGAAAAGCAGCAAGGTTGCTTTCTGCCAGAGATAGGCAGCTAGAGATGCAAAGAACTGTTTAAAGGACCAAGGCATACATTTTTATTTGCAGCCACTTACCGTGGTCTCCAGCAAAGGCACGGGCAGAGTAACTAGAGACCCTGAGGAAAGACTGAGGAAGGAGGTTTTGGAGGAAAAACAGAGAGAGTAGCCAGCGGGATCCCGATGCTGACTCATTGCCCATGGGGCAGCAGCCGTCTTGCTCAGGCAGAGACCACTGCCTCTGAATGGTACCAGTGTCAACGGACCCAATAGCTCCGCCCCCAGGTGAAATTGCACCCCACCCTGTGCTGTCTAAGCCACCTGCTGAGTACAGAGTGGTAGCCACAGAGAGTAGATCCCTGGCTAAAGGGGACGCAGAAAAGTCTGGTGACACTTCAGGAGAGACTGTGGACGGAGGCTTAGGGGAGAGAACAGAGAGAGTAGCCAGCAGGATCCCAGTGCAGACCCTTCCCCCATAGGGCAGCAGTGTGAGAGGACTAAATGACCCCACCCCCAGGAGGGACTCCGCCCTGCCCTGAGCTGCCTACTGTGGCCTGCTGAGTGCAGTGACTAGATTAACAGCTGAAGGAGACAGCCATAGACAATAGATTACTGGAAGTCTCGAACAGACTGTCTAAGGTCAGACAGGGTCAAGATCTGACATCATCAGAGGCAGATCTAGAAAGTAAAAACAGCGCTCTCCAAACATAGAAGTCTACACCACGAAGTCAGGAAATCAGGACAGATCAACTTAAGAATCAGAAGCGAAAGAGAAGAGTCTCACAAATAATGGGAGGACAAAGAAATATGCCCCACTCGAAGGGAAAGGAGGAATCCCCACAAAGAGAACTCAATGAAATAGAAGCAAGTAAACTATCAGATACTGAGTTCAAAACAACAGTTCTAAGGAAGCACAATGAGCTCAGTGAGCTCAGAGAGAATTCTCAAAAACTACAGGGAAACTATGAGGAACTTACTGCAAACTATATCATCATGAAAAAGGACGTAGAAAGTATCAAGAAGAAAGAGGAAATGAAGAATACAATTTCTGAATTGAAGAACACAGTAGAAGGAATAAAAAGCAGGCTCGATGAAGCAAAGGATTGAATCAGCAAGCTGGAAGACAAAGTAGAAAAAAGCTCCCAGAAAGAGCAAGAAAATCAAACAAGACTCAAAAAGAATGAAGAGGCATTGAGGAAAATGCAGGACAACCTGAAACATAATGATATCCATATAATAGGGATACCGAAAGCAGAAGAGGACAAGGAAGGGATAGAGAACCTGTTTGAAAAAGTGATGATGGAAAACTTCCCTAATTGAAGGAGAGAAAAAGTCACACAAGTCCAGGAAGCACCAAGGGTCCCTTTCAAGAGGAACTCAATGAGGCCCACTCCAAGACACATCATCATTAAAACGGCAAATATCAAAGACAAACAGAATCCTAAAGGAAGCAAAGGACAAGGATGTGGTATCATATAAGGGAGTATCAGTAGGGCTAGCAGCTGATTTCTCAACAGAAACCCTGTGAGCCAGAAGGGACTGGCAAGAAATGTTGCAAGTCTTGAAAAGCAAAGGCCTGCAACCAAGACTGCTCTACCCAGTATGGCTCTCAATTAAAATGGAAGGCAAAATAAGGAGTTTTCCAGTCAAAAGAAGGCTAAAAGAATATACCTTCACCAA